ATGACGCCAAATCGCCTGTTTCTCGCCCAAAAAATACCTCCTTTCTCTGCTAGTTGGTGAAAGGAGCGTAGCGAAATTTGCGTGGTCAGACGGAAGAGCGGGCCTGATGGCCCGAGTCTCGCCACGTAAAATAAGGCAAATTCAATTCAAATCAGAGAGTGGACAGAGCAGCTTATTTTGCCGCTGCAGGTTCATAGCACCGTCTCTCTTTCCGTTGGCTCTTCCTGTGAAGCTTAGTATCTCTCGGCTCGACCTCGCCTTCGCCTTCGCCTTCGCCTTCGCGTTGTAGTTACCTCCGCAGGCTATTGTGGACCGGCCCTAAGACCTTCTTCACAATGCAAACAAACGTAACGTAATGCTGTAAAACTAGCAATAAAGCGTATAAGTAAAAACAAGCATTCGCAATGACGCACGGAAGTTGAAACGCAAGGTTCGCCTTAACTAATCAGAATTCAACGTATTGAAGCTTGGTCGATTCGCTTCCAGCTGGGTGGCAATATCTTTATACAATGCTTTCTGGCTTCAACTTTCCTATCAATTTGCCTTTTTATATATGCGAATAATTCATTATTCGCATTAAAAGTATTCGCAAACTAGTTCACTACATAATAATGAAATGACACAACCACAAACTACCTTAACACAAACTGAAATGGACCTTTCATTTTTTTCTCGCGCATTTTGTGAACTATTTGTTTTTTTTCTCGCTGCACTCCCATTGGTGGTCATTCGGTTAAAATTCCGAAAATTTTGATGTAAAAGCTTACTGCTTGAGAAGTGAGAACTTAAGTTTACGGATTTGCGTCTACGGTTACGACAGAGCTTTGAGCAAGGTTCGCTTAATAACTCGTTTCAAGACTTTGCGGCAACGTTTTGCGTGTTCGGTAGTACGAATAGCGTGCAGAGAAAAGAGTGAACAGTTAGCGTATTGGGCTGTTGTACTCAAGTTTGCGGGATCAAGCCAGTGGATTTTTAAGGGCGAAAAAAGCCTTCTTATGCCCTCTTTCGGCGAGGAAGTAAATCCGGCTATCCTGTCTGTAGATGTACTGCATGTAAAAGATCCTCATGTTCAAAAGAAGTCTCTGAAGTAAATAGAAATCTCCCGTTTCGACTCCTGAGTAATACGTTCTTTCTCTGCTAAAAGGTGAAAGGGGCGTAGCGAAATGTTCATGGTCAGACGGAAGAAAGGGCTCAATGTCAAAATTAGATTTTCCATTAGTTAATTAATTAATTACGTTTCGCTTAAGTGCGCATTGTGTTGCAGAGGTGCTGAAGGGCAACGGCTCCGCGGGCGAGCCCGCGCCGCTGCAGCTGGTGCGCGACCTCTACGCGTCGTGCGTGGACGTCGGTGAGTCGCCCTTCACACTAGCCACAATGTGCACTTCCTGGAGCAACGGCCTACGCGGCGCAACAAGAGCCTTTTCCAGATATTCAACTTGATCGCGGTTTTGACTTTTCAGATTTTAATAATGGTTATTCAAATGAGGACAAATTGTTTCTGGACAGGGATTGATGATTAATTATTCTCTAATCGTCATTTTCTCCGTTTAATTATGCAATAAAATAACTATTGTTACTAATTGATTAGTTCTGTTAAAAATTGGCACATTTAAAGTTTCTGCAAGAAAGAAAACAAAATAAGTAAAAATATACAGATGTCCATAAAGTGAATGTAGTGTGGTGTGCGAAGTGTTCCGGTATCATGGCTAAAGTAGGAGTTTCCATCTAACCACCAGAACACGTATTATCTTATTGTTGATTAAAAACCTTTTTATATTCCCAGAATTTGTTAAAATACAAAAAACAGAAAATTAAATTTTGAAATATTAGAAAATAACTCATATTGGAGAACATTCGAAATCATTTGACTATCATTGGTCTTCATTTGACGAAATATTCTGTACTAGGTACTATAAAAATTGTATATCGACCTATGAGCCTTCGTTCCAATGAATAAATAGCAAATAAAACGAGACTATTAAAGTAAGATGAAAATTATTGAAAGTTATGTACTCGTTGAAGGTGATGCATGAAATCGTGGTAAGAGAACGAGAAAATGCAGCCGAAACCATTGCTGACTAAGCGACACAAATACATCGGCGCACGTTTTCTTCAGACCTTATTTCACTAGATGCGAGATTAATGTGGGGTTTGATTATTTTGTTGACAGAACTGTTATTAAATCTGTGGCTCGTTTTTCGATAAACATGTTTCTATTACACAGATTAGCAGATTGTTTGTCCACAAAGTTCGTAACTATCATTTATTCTGAAATCAACTCGTGTTAGGGAGTATGGATAGCTATTCCAAGGCTCAAGAAAACATGTGCGCATCCTGATTAGTTTGAAACTCCCAATACACGCGGAAGAAGATAACACGAGCAAAAATATAGTTTCTTTCGTTATAATACACTGAGAACAAGAGAACGCCAGAAAATTACACAAAACTCCTGCTAGTTATTATTAAAGTTATGTAACTTTGATATACGTGGGAATCTTCATTACAAAATTAGTGAAAAAAGGTTTTTAAAATTAGTAACTTCCTTACCTTTATCTTCCAGCATTGATATCGATTGAGCAGCATTGTAGTAGATTATAATTCTGTTGAATTTCTACTCTGAGTTATTTTTAAATATACTTGTTCAATCAACTAAATAAATTATCTACACCTTACTCACACGAAAAATAATCACCATTGCCACCACAGCTCTCACAAACAAAACAAATTTACTCGTCTAAACTACAACACACGAATCTGAGGTAAAGAAGCGCACAGATTTTTCCTCTCACATCCATATCTCTTTCACTTTAAAATACTCGAGCTCCTCACGATGTTTCTAAGAAATACACACAAGACAACTGAACTTTTTGAAAGCAGACAGAGAAGTAACCCTGGCGTTATTTCAGTAATCTCCGCTCAGGAAGGTGACGTAGTTATCGCTGATTGGTCGTCGATAATTAGCTGTTTCCATTTATTTTTCGAAGAACTTTACAAACTAAACACTCCCAAACAAAATATTTGGTGAAACATTTAAGTTTTCACCCTTATCAAAATGATTCTCATAAATGTTGTTTTGTTTTCATGTTTGATGTGTATGTTCTGCGATTCATACTTTTCTAGTTCACACTCATCACGCTTTAAAACAATCAGATTTTTCTTAGTATTTCAAAATTATACATTTTTCTTCCCATTTATATATTTCCGAGGAGTCTAGCATTACTACATGCATCGTTATTCAAAATTATGTGGGGCCCACGTGTTAAAAGTGTTTTACTCTACTTGTACGAACGTCCTCCAGTATAATATTTTCTTAGAACAACTTTTCTATCCACAAAATAAAATACAATCACAAATAACTGTTGTTTCTAGAAAATTTGGAAACATATATTTCCGAGGCAATGTTGAGATCGAGATATCAACTTGACTACAGTTATTGTCTGTAAGTCATGACAGTTTCTTATTGTGTTATTTTCACTGGCGCAACCGATATCAAACGATGGGATCCCCATTTTACAATTAAAATCCGGCTAAGGGGGCTTTACTCCACATTTACTTGTTCTCTTACAACAGTCAATTTTGGGATATTTATATAATGTATTGCTGAAATGAAATTCCCTTAAATTCCTAGATAGTACCTGATTGATAAATTGCACGATAAAAGAAAACGTACGAAAAGAAGTTGATATTTTAAATTTAATAAAAAAATGAGTGTCGAACGTCTAGTTTGATGAACGAATGTGGAAGAAATACTTCAGTATTCAATGATTGATTGATTGATTTTTAGTGATTCCGGGCGAGTCAACTACTGTGGTCAGTGGTCCCGTTAGTGTAGTGTATGTTTTTGCTCGGGAGGTGGCGAAATCTGGCACTGACCTACTGTCAGCTGGCGGGCTTTTCCCTACTTATGTATCAGCCCAGCTGGGACACGCACGAAGCTCCCAACCGGTCTCCCGGTATGTGTGGTAGTGTAGTGCATGTTAGTGTAAGTGTGTGTAAGGGGTGAGTGTAGGACAAGGAAGAGGCAGGAATGATCGATCGCGATCGAGTAGCAAACAGTGGGAATTCTTAGCCCTTGGGAAGTAGGGATGCGACTGCGATGTTTCCAAAACAGCGATGCTTTTGTAAAGTTTTTGTAAACATGGTTTTTAACGTCAATAATTCGTGTTCAATGTTTGGACATGGTAGATATTTTTTTCAATAAAAGAAAAATTCCCTCAAAATATCTATAATTATTTTCAGATATCCATAAATTGAATACACTTCGGACTAAAGTGTTCCAGGGTGATAAATAAATAAAATATAGTATTCGTCCATAGAGAAGCCTCTATAATTTTTTGAATTATCGAATCACATAATCTCTGAATTTGTAACAGATCAACAAAAACTTTATGAATTCGTATTGTTGACATATAACAAGACCCATCACTAGGTAGATTTTACAACTACTTGGAAGGTGTCTGGAACATCTCTTTATTATTATTAGATGACATTATTTAGATGTGAAAATGTTCGTTTCGGAAATTTTGTAACTTAGCTCCTTTGTCTTTGCACTGCCTCAATTGTCCTGATGATGCCTGTTGTGCCAGTGAAGTGAAAAGTGAAAAACGAAGCGAGAAGTAACCCTGTGCGTGTTGGCAGCGGCGCAGGAGGAGGCGGGGCTGCGGCCGCTGGCGGAGGCGCTGGCGCGGGCGGGGCTGGCGCTTGCGCCGCCCGGGGCTCCCGACGACCCCCGCCCCGGCCGCCCCGCGCTGCCCCTCGGCGCCGCCCTCGCCCGCGCGCAGCGCTCGCTCAGCCTCGACGTGCTGCTCGAGCTCTCCACCGTGCACGACCCCAACGACACCGTGCGCATGCTCCGGGTAAGCCCCTACCCCCTTTACTTCTTTACTCTCCTCATTGTTCTCTCTTTCTCTTCATTCTTCTCTTTTTCCTACTGTTTCTCGTCCTCTTCTTTATTTTTCTTTTCACCCTTCTCCTCCTCCCCTTCGTCCCCTTATTTTCTTTTACTCCATCTCCTCTTCTCCATCTTCATATTCTCCCTCTTCCTCTTCTTCTTCTTCTTCTTCTTCTTCTTCTTCTTCTTCTTCTTCATCATCTTCTTCTTTGCATTTTTAATTTTTATTCCGTGCTTTATAATTTCCCTCTTTTCATCATCCTCTTGAAGCAGCGTTAAGTGCCACATGTTTGGGATCACGATGGGCGTTTTACGTTACTCGGGATTCTTTACGACATGGAAACATCAGGGCATATTGAAAACGTTTTCGAAAACGATTTTTTAAACGTACTACATAAATACACATAGTCAGACTGCGATCGTAGTGTCTGAAGATCGGATGCTTAAACTTCCAGCAATTTGAGCTATGTTAATTAGGGCTGTCCTCATAGCATTACTCAATGCAGTGCTACATGATTTCCAGATTCACAACCATTAATATAAAAAAAATTAAATTACTTGTAAGGAGATTTGCATAATCAGTTATATATAAGACAAAATTCATTCAACAAATTCATGCGACATGAGTAGTACAAATACAAGCAAGTACTACTTGTACACAAAGAATCGACTAACAAGTGTTTTCCCGTGTCTCAAAAACAAAATTTGAAAACCATTAAAATTGTACCTAATTAATATACCATAAATAGATGCGCACAGTATGCGTGACTAGCGTGTATTTTAACACACACTTCATTGGGTGTGGAGAAAGCGGCCTCGGTTGAAAAAGTCCTCACAAAAATGCATTGGGTACGTTAAAAGGCATACAGAAAAAACACGTATAAGCTCTCACGCAGCAATCTATATAAAATAACAACACTGAATTTTGCGTTTATTAGATTGGTGCATCTGCGATCATCATAAGTCTCTAACAATATAAATGAATACCGTTACAACTCAACTCTTCTCTATTTACAGATTTTTAAAAGGAATCTAATGTTAAAACTGAAATTTTCAAATGATAGTTGTCGGGGACAACAGGACACAAAGTATTCATTAACTCTGATTGTATGTTCTAAAGATTTGATAAGTACGTTGAATGATGAATGCTGATTAGAGTTGAATTGCTGTGTTAATGGAATGTTTAACGACAGGTAGCGCCCCATGCGTGGAGAGAGAGAGAGCTGTTGTGGTATTCGCGACTGTTTCGCTGTACAAAGGTGGCTGGTGAGCTCCACTCGCAGGTCGCCCCCTTTGAATCAATAATCTGAGGAATGGGCCGGGTTACAAACACAAGGACAATGGAGTCCCGAAGTCTCATTTTCGCCTGTTTGCGCAGGGCACAGCGCGTCATTGATCGCACGATGAAAAATTGGCGGTTGTCTTCTTTTTTTTTTTTTTGCAGTACTGATTCTCCTTCCACACCAACTCTTTCATTACTAATTTAGAGAGGTTCGTATTTAATGTGCGCGTGGAAAATATTAAAAATATAGATAAATAAAAAGATAGAACAATATTAACATTCATGGTTTTGGAAATGTAAATTTATTTTTATTGTTAATCATCTACTTCATCAACAACACCGACATTGTCAATATTTTAATTTCTCTATTCCAAGGAGAATACCAGCCCTTGAACTCCTGTGTTAATGGTTAATTGACATTCACAACGGTCGTCTTTCTATCATAACCGATGACAACTCCAATTTGCCAGGAGGTAATAAGAATCCTCGAAGGTCTTTAGGGAATAGAAGCACTGTGTATCTAAATGCTTCCTTAAAGGCGATCCAGAATATTAACTAGAGATACCATATAATATTCTTTCTCGCATTAGTTTTTACTTTGAGATAAAAAAATGATACCTGTGCCTTTCGAACCAAGTAGTCTTTGCTCCATTCGAGAAAAAAAATTAAAAAAACATTTCAAGCTAGTTTGGATAACTTTTTATATATTACCCTTCCAGCAAAAATTACCCGACGACAACTCGTATTTTCAAAAAATCGTTTGTGTCCTTATGTAAAGATCTATTTTGTTATATTTTCCATTAAGAAAACTAGTGGTTCTAAAGCAGCATATACTTTTTCGCCCTTAGTAATTGTTATATAATACTATTTATATATTGCAATTTCTCTCCGATTTAATGCATATTAGTCACAATTTTTTGCAATACTCATTACAAATCATAGAACATTTGGTGCGAAAACTAAATATTTTCAAGCAAATATCAACACACAATTGACAATTACAACTGCGTTTTACAGAAAAGAATCATTCCCCAGCAATGAGACGACATTCACAGAACTGCAGCTGCCGTCTCGTAGGGCGCAATATTTTTGTTGCATTCCAATCTGATATTTCCTTTAAGAATATTAGAATGTTCCTTTCATATCACATTTAAATTGCATTTTAAAAAACATAATTGGGGTAATTTCAATTAAGGTTTGCGGATAGCTTGAAAGAAAATACATCAGTATATTGAGAATGTGAATACATTCCTCGTAAAAAATATGGATTATCAAATAGGTATTATATAATTTCTAAAAGATTAATTTGTAAACGAATACCGAAGGCTGGAATGTAAGAAACGAAGAAAGAAGTATGAAATAATATTTACGACCTAAATTATGTAGCATCCGACTGTTTCCGAGCACTTCTCAAATTACGATCACGAAGCGCAGGAAATTCGCAGCGGGTACTCATATTTTCGAAAAATTAAACATCACCTCATTTTAAGATCTATTTTGATGAACACATTTCATTAAGAAAACAATTGTATCTTCTCAATTGTAGGAAGACGCCGGTAAAAATTGATATTTTTCAATTGCTGAAAAATCTGTTTTCAACGAAAATGAGATCTCCATCGTCCTCTTAAATGTCCTGTATTCTAACCAACAACAAAATTTAATCAAAAACGACGGAGCCATTGTTTTGAAAATTTGGAAAATATCCCTGGGACTTCATGAAAAGTACCCTCCAAAATTAAAATATGTTTCAAAATGAAGGAGCCGCGACATTAGCCAGATCGATTGAGGATTATCAATTTTGGAGAAAATCGGCTGAACTCTTTATCCGCTAGCGTTGGTTACAGACAGGGGCAGACTTTTGCCGTCAATCGATTTTTAAGCATCAAGAATCCTCAAAACATGGATTCTGACTACATCACGGGTTTGGAGGATATTTGTTTCTAAATTTAGCAACTAAATTTATCTTTTTATTATTACCAGAGCCATACAATAAGAGTTTTTCTGCCGAATCGCGCCATGTTTCTTGATCACGCCATGTCTGAAATACCATGGTCTTGTTGCTCTTAATTTATGCTGAAGAGGACTTATAATTGTTTTATTTGAGGTTAGGCGTCAAATTTGAATGAATTTAGGCGTATATGTGGCACCATTAATATTTCATGAATATACTTCCAAAATTGTATAATATTGTATTAAACTTAATTTTAATCGAAAGCGAACAGCAACTTCAACAGCATTCGAAATGTGAATAAATCTATTCTTTAATAATCGCTTTACAATCAACAGTTCTATGTACTACCGATGTCATTCAAACGACGAAAATATTAAAGATAGACATTTTCCCTTGATGAATTGTGTTCGTCCAAGATTGGTTTTGAAAAAAGGTCGGGTTTGTTAATTTGAGTACTTTTGGTGTAATTTTGCGTGCAAATGCGGGGGAGAAAGTGAATTTTGATAAGGGGAGTCGCGGAGTGGTGGGGGCGCGTGAGGACATGCTGGGCGGTGGCGCAGGTGGCGCCCGCGCCGACGGTGCTGCTGTCGACGCAAGCGAAGGCGGCGGCGCGCGCGCTGGTGCCGAGGCGCGAGGGCGACGACCTTCAGCCGGCGACGGGGCGCCTCAAGGCCGAAGCGGTGCTCAAGGCCGAGATCGCCTTCATGGCCCGCGTGGTGCGGCTGCTGGCCAACGCCGACCGCCCGCCCGGCGCGCCGCCGCTCTCCGCCCGGCAGGCCGAGCTCATCGCCACCAAGATCCGGCTCTTCGAGGCCTTCTTGCGGAACGTACGTACGTCGGCGGAGCGCTTCGCGGAGAACCAGCCTCAATCGGGGCCTACTATAATAATACATATAATATTAATGATGGTACTTTGATGTATAGTATAATACATATATCACAGTATACATAGTTAATAATATATTATGCCGTTAACATACGTGTTATATCTACACTTATTAACTTTACAGTACACGACTCGTGGTCCGAAACGCCCGAAATCTCTCAACACAACTTGGTATGAATTCCAAAAAATTCTAGATAGTGGATACGCAAAGGAAAATTCTTCTAAAGAAAAACTGGTAAGTTTCAAAATAATTTTCTCCCTCTTAGTATTATCCCTGAACCATATATTTCCACAAATGTACTAATGGCACTGAGAACGACTAAAAAGAACTGAACGACCTTAAACCAGGCTACTTTTGATTTCTTGCTGCTGCAAGCGAACAATAAAAATAAGTAATGAACTTACGCCCGTAGTGGACACCCTATTTTCTGATAAATTTCTGAAAAGTAAGGGCGGACTTTAATGAAATGTATTTTTTTTCTTTTCATTGTAGAACAATGCCGCTTAGAATAGAAGTTAATTTAATGTTAAGACAATACGAAATGACCCATTTTTATAAGAATTGTTTTTTTGCATTTTTCGCCGATTTCATAAATGTTCATATCATTTTAATGGTACTTGCTTCAAACAACATTTACGGAGTGCAACAAATGTTTAGCACAGAATTTCTGGGTAGCCTATTCTTCGCTCACATATTGTAATGTCAGCCGTTGTATTACGTAAACTAAGGTTCCTGTGACGCCTATCGGCGGAATTGTTAGTTCGGCCGATTTCGCGATAAATAAAGGCAGATATTTTCTTTAAAGAACAGTCCAAATCAAAAGTTTGCAAGCTGAGTTCACATAAACAAAAGGTGGAAGCCTCGACTATATCATTAACATACCCAACAGCTTGGGTTGTTCATCTCAAGTGGTTTTGCTCATTTTTTTACCTAATTTTTCTTTGTTTTGACGGCATTTTTAAAGCATTGTAAGAGTGTTTTATTGGTTATTTTTGGCAATATTTTAGGTTATCAATATCCGCTCTTTACTGATAAGCAATCAAATGAAATGATACAATTCATTTTTAGTATTTTTAATCTCATATTTTGTATAAACACTGCTCAAAAATGTAGAAACCAAAAAATGTAACCTTTTGTAATTTTTAGTTTTCGAACGAAGTAGATGTTTGTTTATGATTAAGGTAGTACTTAAATATTAGGTTAGCTTATTTCTCCATGACTGTTTATCTTTAAAGACAATAACAAATTTCATTTTTACTTCGAGTTTAAATCTATTTTTCAGTTTTCAAAGTTGACAATATGTCATTGAGAGTTTTTGTACATACGAAAGCAAACATAAATATTTAAATATTAAGTGTATTAACAACTTTTACAATTCCTTGTTGTAGGCAAACGATTTTCAAATTTTGATACTCAATTTAAGATTTATTTAAACGAATAAGGCGGTAGAGGTATTTTTTCAATTGACATTTAAAACTACTGATCGACATTTTGACACTTCATAATTATTTAAACTCACAGTATGCTGTAAATTGATGGCACGAATTGTGAAATTCAGTTTCAAAATCGGATGAATTCGAGGTTTGGGAGTCTCTCCCACTAAACGTATCATTTTAAACTGAGCACGTCCGAATTGTGCTCCTATGAATGCTTTCTTTGAATTATCTCGATTAATTATTATCAAAATCCAGTAACCATCACTAAGCCATTAAGATATTTTATCTTGAAGATCATACCTAATTCTTTATTTTAGCGCGATTCAGTTTTCTCTTTAATACAGGTGATAGTCTTAGTGAGCGTCATAAAAAATCACGGTTTTTCGGTTAGATGGTATTATTTCCTCTGCTTAGATGGATCTGGAGCAGTATGTGGAAACATTATCTGAGGGACTCAATCACAGTTTGGACTTCTACAATGACGTCATTTTCCTGTCTGATGTGGTGTACTTTATACGACTGTCACGTATGCTAGCGAAAGAGGGCCCCATAGTGGCACGTAAGTATCCTGAGTATTTTTAAACAATTCCAAATACAACATTAGTAAACTTCACACAAAGTTAAGCACGAGTTAGTCCATTCCACTAGGAGTTCAAGTATTTCACATTAATTTACAGAGTGAACCAGATCGAACCGTCAAACTTCCGGAGATGGCTTCTAGAAAGAAACTGAGGAAGAATAGTCATACCATCATAAGTGCAAAAATGCATTTGACGAACAAAATTATTCTCATAATTCAGATTTTTCAATTTCCATTCACCAAAATTATTCATATTCTTCAGTTTACATTCTAAATTATATTTCAAAGTCACTACTTCGCGTCATTGATACAGAGGTTTGGCATCTGGATCGCATTGCCTCTCTGACTAAATTGTGCACTTAAACACTGCAGCATAGGAACGGAAGACCAATTGCAAATACTATCCCCGCCCCCTGAAAAAAATTAAAAACGATTTTTTGTGTCAATGCACGAAGAAACTGATGCCTCATATCAAAGTTCATATCTCGACGTTTGTGCGAAGTAATCATATTGGCCTGCATATAACAGAAACTTCACAAACTTTTTTTTTTCAGAAAGAAGAACACAAAATTGCTATGAAAGACTTTTGAAACTTATCAGGTTTAATTCAGGTGTAACCTCTCTCTGAATTTTACCGTTCCTTTCATTTTTTCAATCTCGATAGAAGTTTTTTGAGTAATTTTGTTCTTTTCACCGACAATGAAAATTCTGCATTTAATTTCCGTCCCCATAGAAGTCCATGGTGCCGACGACCTGCCTGGTAAAAGCGCCGAAGTAGAGTAGCCGAGTGTGGTAATTGAAAATACAAAGGGACTTCTCAACGCACACAATATTTAATTTTATGAATCTACGTACCGGTTCTCCCGACTTTTTAATAATAATAATAATAATAATAGAATAGAAATGAATTTATTACCGCAAATGAGCTTCCTCTCGGTGGCACAAAAATATATAAGTAATATTAAAATAGAAGGAAAAAATTGTAAACTAGCGATGCTACAGAATGTCACCCACTTTCTCGATATATTTTGTATTATAATCTCGTTAGTAAATGGTAGATTTTAGATATTGCCCACATCCTTTTCCCAACTGCTATTACCTTTCGACCCCTAAAAGTCATTTTTTCACACTTTCCCAATTTTTCGGACCCCTAATAACATAATTGAAATATTAACTTAAGACTATTATAGAAGAGTAAAGTAAGGTCCTACGTGCAACTTTTCATAGAAATCTGGAGCTGTAATTAAGAAAGTTTCGCCGACCTGGATGGCCGAGGGGACTAAGAGCATGTATCGACTCAGCGCTTCGCGCCGACGGGTCGCGGTTCGAGTCCCGCCTTGGGCGATGCTGTTTGTCTCCTGTTTCTCATGCATGTGTTGTCGCGAAGGGCCTCGCGTTCTGCTGACCGCAGATCAGAGGAGCCCAGCCGCAAGAATGTTGCAATTTGGATTATGGTGAAATATGCGTCCCGTCGGGACGTAAAGGGTAACCGACTGTCGGCTGGATGAAGCCCTCGAGGAAAAACAAGAAAATGTCACTTTAGAGTTTCTGAAAATAAACAATTTTTGGTTCATTGTCACACAACACTTTTGAATTTTCGAGAAACTTCATAAGAAATTATTCAAATCTCTTGAGCTTTCTTGGAGCCATTTTTGAGAAAATCTTGTTTTAATATTGCCCTTAATCACTCAACGCGACAACTACTAATAATATAAAAAAATGTATTGCATTAATTATGGAACTAGATTTGAAGAACAAACATTCAATAATATATAGTCGTACGAGGGAGGTCCAAAAAAATGTGGACTTTTGGAATTATCGAAAATTGATAGTTAATAGTGAAATTCAGATTTACACCGCCTTTGAAAGTGTGTTTCACTTCAGTCTTACAAGAAATTAAAAGAAAACATTTGAAGTAATTTTTGAGAAAAGTTTGAAAATGTTCTTCGGGCTTCATTGGCAAAGTTGATTTAATTACTGTCATGAACCTTTAAAAAAATATTAGTAGTTTTGAATAAAATATGGGCAGTATTACAAAGAATATTTTATCAAAAACGGCTTCATTGTTTTTGCACTGAATAAACATGACCGATTTTGCCATTTTGATTCGATTATTAAAAAAAATTCACAAATGTATTTTAAATATGTTAAATCATAAATAAGTACAATATGGCCGTTTTTGATACTTTATTACATTTACAAGTACCACAAATGATTTCCAATGAAGTTTTTCGAAAACTATTATTTTAGTGTGAAAATAAGCTCAAAATTACGGATTATCAGAAATGACATTTTTCTCAAAAGTGGCTCCAAATTTGTCAATAAAACGTCGCATATAGAACCACGTTTCATTCCTCAATGTTATTCCTTAAGTCAAATTTCAATTCTATAGCTTGGGGGCCCAAAAATTGAGTAAGTGTGAAAATATGCTCAACAGGCAGGCAGGCGCCGATAGGCAGGCGCTGGGAGGAGGGGGTGCCCAGAAGCTAGCCAGGAACGAAGAGATGAGAAAAGTAACGAGTGGGAGAAAGTCTGTTTCAGTCTGTATGACCAATAGTTAAAATTTGCTTCGTATTGCGTAATAGTTCATAACGAAAAACATAAAAATATAAAACATTTTCTATGATGTTTAATAATAAAACTACAGTGGTACAATTTAACCTACAAAGTTAATACAAAATTATCTTATGAACCTAAAAAAATTATACCATAAACCAGAAATTTCAATTAAAAAGTATAAAAAAATGAATTATATTTTATGTCAATCGTGGCCAGAATCTAATGTTTAAACATTAACAGATCTGTTAGGCAGTTATGGATATTTCATCATTCTTAAGCAATTTTGTAGAACTGAGCCCAAAATGTTCGGTCGGAAATCTATTTCATAGTAACATTTATATTTTCGTTTAAAACAACGACAGAATCATTAACCTGAGATGATTGATTAATCAGCGAGATTATAGCAATAAACGTTCCTTTCTAGGAGCAATACTCCATACGAGGTTTGCGAAAGTTAATCTTTAATATTCTTTTTGTGTTGCATTCTATTCGGCTCAACTGTCTCTTCTAACGAGTAGCACTTGGTTTCCGATGCGCAGAGCGGTACTTGTGGTGGCGCATGGTTTTCGCGCTGCTGCCCTACACCACGCCCACGTTGCGCGGCTACGAGCGCCACTTCCACCAGCAGCTCCTGGGGCCCAGGCCCCGCTCCCCGAGGTGAGCACCGCAAGTGAGCATTCGCCGTTGCAGCACACATTTCCATTTCGGCTTTACATTGCTGCGCTTCGTATATTGCTTCTTTAGACAGCAACGAGCTAGAATATACTACATAGAGTGGCTAAAGCATCCCCATCTTTGAAGCGAATTGAAGCGATGTTTATTGCAGTAAAAGCAGCGCCCTCTGGGAAATAACGTATTCTATACTGTAATTTATGCAACTCTGCCCCTGGCAGGTCTCAGCTGTTCACGGTTTTATCCAGTTGGGAGCTTCACCGTCACAATAGTGACGTCACTATGGTGACGTTTCAGCTTTCGAATGGAGAAAACTGTGAACAGCTGATGGGCTACGCGGGCAACTTTTCTTGAACGGTGGATTAAAGAAATGATGGTAGAGTGGGGATATTAGTTACGAAATCGCAAAGCCAATCTTTGGAGAATCAGTCATGCCTTCGCAACTTTCTCAATAATTTGCGTTCTAATTTTCTCAGGAGTTCGAGGTATTTCCTGTGATGAATCTTCACCTGCTTTGGTCATTTATTTAATTTTTTTGCAGAAAATCACGGTCAGAAGTTCTCATCTTCAACGGAAAATAGTTTCTATTTCGCGCCAGTGAACATGTGTTTGTAATGTTGTCATCAGTGCACGCTGCGAACTTGTCTTCAACTATTTATTGTGTCAGAGAGGGGGAAGAAACGTCATCGTACAAGAAAAGTTGAGAAAATTGTTTACTTCCGTTTGAAAAACAAAAGTTATGTCAATATTTCTAAAATTACATACGATAGTACAAGAAAACGAAATATGTTATTTGCCCCCATCATCTGCAACAATATGGCGCAAATGGCATCTCGATACCTCAAACCATTGTCAAGGTATTTGCTGTGGCCGACTTAGGTGGTCCATCCTGTACACAATACTATGGTGTTTCAACATTCGTGAAGCCTGATTTTGTTAAAATATATAATTTACTGGCACAACCCAGCAGACGTCCTGCTCTATTTCTCGATTACTTTGACTCTGTGTCTGTCTGTCTCCCTCTCCCCCTCTCGCTCTCTCCCTCCCTCCCTCCCTCTCTCTCTCTCTCTCTCTCTCTCTTCCTCTATCCCGTACCGCCCTTGCCCTGTGCTCTTCGCCGTCGCTTCGCGTCACACCGCAACGCCTAACAACATAAAGCGCAGGTAGTTTGGGAATTACATTTAAATGAAGCGCCATTTCAGCTCCAGAACCATGTAGTGGAATTACAAAAAAATTAACAGCATAAAATCATGACAAAGCACGTAGATATTCCACGTTTTATGGCTATCGGTCAAACGGTGCCAGAGTTCATCGATCTCGAACATAACATCCATTATTACTTTCTCGCTACGATGCAGAAAGAAAGTTATGTAAAGCTGCGTGAAAAAAACGACAATTTTCAGCAGAACAAATCTTATCACAGGACTCTAGTAACGAAAAAATGGATAAATTCAGTTGCTTCATTTACAAAAAAAATCTATAAAACGTGGGGTAGCCAGAATCCATGTTTTGAGGGTCCTTGAAAGCGAAAAGTCGAATGATGGCAAAACCTCTGTCCATCCGTCCGTCTGTCCATCGGTCCGTGAAAAACGCTAGTGGCTAAACCGTACAGCCGATTTTCTCCAAAATTGATATTCCCCGATTGATCTGGCTGATGTCGCGGCTCCTTGAATTTGGAACTGATATTTTCATTTTGGGGGATTCTTTACAAGAAGCTGGTCGGACATTTTCAAAATTTAAAAGCAAATTGCTGCAACGTTTTATTAAACTTTGTTATTGCATAGTGTGAATGGACTTTAAGAGAAAACTGTAGGTCTCATGTTCGTTGAAAATGTGATTTTTCAAAAATTAATTTTTTTTACAGAGTCTTCCTACGACTAAAATATTAAAGATAGAGGTTTTTCCCTGAAGGAAATCTGTTTCTTAAAGATAGATTTTAAAATAAAGTCATGTACTATTTTTCCAATTTGAGTACTTTTCGCGTAATTTTGCGTGAAAATACGGGCAAGAAAGTACGTTCTGTTTAAGCATCACTAGTTATTTATAGAGATTGCATTGTTGTTCGAAAGTATTTTATCAGTTCTTTTTTAGCACTGTTCGTGCAACCATTTTGTGTGTTTTGTTCAAAAGCGTTTTTGCTGCTGCAGATCACTAGTATATAATACTAATTTGTATTGCTCAGAAGTGAAGGAAAACTATTTAGCCCTCGCCCGCGAGGTCTCTATGATTTTGTTAGGTACTCACGAACTCTGATTAATTCAAAATCCTCTGAATTATTAATGTTCAATGCGAGGAGAAATTGAAACAAAACTAGGATGGCTCTGGCCACTTGAAAGATGTCAATAGTTTCATTAGGTGCCCAAGACGTCGGGAAAATCCAAAAAACTACGAAAAAGTTTCGAAAAATTAAAATATTAGATTGTGCTATTTAGTGTATTCTCATGCTCACCATATCGACCGAATTCTAATACACAGTGCTTCGCTGCTTACGATACAGCTGACGTCTGGCTCAGCAAGTCTCCGTGGAAGAGGGCACCTCCCATAAAATATTTGCTATTCATATGTTGCGTTACAGAATAGCGATTTTTTTATATTCTTGGTAGAGAACTCATGTAGTATTGTATATTGCACAATTTCAATGCAGTGTTCGTGAAGACTGATTCTGTTAAATATTAAATTTATTTTATTATTTCATTTGTTATACTTCAGCAGTGCTCTGCAACGTTTAGGAAAACCATTCTGTGAGGTTTTATTCAGGAGCATTTTTGCTGTTGCATGCGACTAGTATTGCCTATTTTGTTTCAGGTCGCGGGTGTGCACGTCTTTTGTTAAAGATTTATTGCCCGCACCAGTGAGTTATGCAATGGGGCACAAATATCCTCTTGATGACGTAGTTACAATGGTACGTATTTAGACTCACACAGATAAGACATTGTTTTAAGGCAATATTTTCAAAACAGGTTCACATATATCACTAACACAACATACCTTTCGTTTATTGTTTTTAAAAATCGGAAGAAAACTCATTTAAAAAATTTAGAACTATTTTAAACTTACTGTTCTTTGTTCTAAACGAGTGGTGCAGCAACATAGCATATTTTGTACATCTGCAAGTTGTATCGGTTATGTAAAATGATAATGAAATGAATGTAAAGGTAATATTTTAGCAATCATGTGTTATCTTGAAACTTTCTTAGGAAAACGCTGTTAGGCCAAAAAGTATTTTGGTATTAAATGTGTTGGAAAATATGCGTTGTGAAGACTCAAGGGTATTTATGTTAATCACATGTAAGTTGAAGGCCGAGTGAGCCAATTGTAAATCGTAATTAATTTGAGGTAGAGAGTTTTATATAAGACCGAATAAATAATGCAAGTACATAACTTGCTGTATTATACGAAAGTAAGTCAATAAACATCAGAACTTTCGTTCTAATCGTTTGTTGACTGTACCTGTGACCCGCCTTAAAGCTAAATGCACCGAAAAATACTTGTAGGAAAATTCAATAGATCGCAGCACTATCACAGAGGTAATATTACTTTACGATAACGTGCCCTAGAAACAAGGTCGATTTTCGGCTCTGTTAAAACGGCATTTGACCGCCTTTTTAATAATGAAAATTTACCTTCAACGAAAATCTTTTCCAAAAATCTAGCAAAAACGCGAATTTGAAATTAAGTTTCTCACAATTCCAAGAACAACAATTTTAACAAAATTGGCCTGTACTACGCGCGATGCGACATGCTTCCTGAATCCACGCGTGACAATCATGAAAATCGACGCAAATAGGAGCGTTCCACGTAAAGTGAAATTTCAAAAAACCTCCCTCCCCCCACTCTCATTCTGCACCGTTGCGTTCACGCCACCCGCCCATTATGTGGCTCTCTCTGTCAGCGCGTTCGCACGCCGGTCCCCCCTCCCCCCAAGGCCCGCGTCGTGCGGCCAGGACCCGAGGAGGAGCGGTACTTGACGGGACTCGCAAGCCACACACTCGTTTTATGCGTTCGTCACTTGCACTTCATCTATTTTTCCGCCGGATATCAAACTAGAGATTCTATACTTACTATTTCACAGACCGAGGTAAACGGTTTACATATTCTCCCTCTTCCTTCGATACCATTTTTAAACACATTTTTGACTGCATTACTCAAAATATTAATTTCCGATTACTTTACTATTTTTTAAAAGGAAATAATTGTGTAATTATCATGCATTATTCCGTCTCCTCCAAATCTTAGTTTAGATCATATTGTAGCTTCCTGTCCTTCTGTTATCACCCCTTGCGTCTAGATCTTCGCTTGTCAAAATACCGTAAAAAATGAACGGAGTATACGCACGGAGACTCTGTTTTCCTACCAACTCGATTGTTGATTCTAAACGACGAGTTATCTGCTTTAAAGAGTTCATCTGGTGAATCCCTTCTCCAAGTAACAATATCCTAAGCTAATTTTGTAAAAATGTTTTCGTCACTCTTCGGACAAATTTTAAAAATTCATTATCTTTATGGGTCCGGGTAACGTCGCATCGAAGGCTTGTTTTGCACACTGTTTCGACATTCTTGTCGTGGTCTTCCTCAGGCTAGTTTTATTGCCCATACTAAGAATGGTATGGCACATCGTAAGCACCACGACAGATGCGCTCGAACTCCAGCAACAATCTTCGACGCGGCGTCACCTGAGAAGTCCAAGATCAATGCACATGACTCTGGCCCGAGGAAGCTACGAACGTCAAATTTTTAAAAATGTGGTAAAATAGCGGTCCTGGCAGCTGCTCATCTGACAACGCGCAGCCAGGATAAGATAGTATCGAATCATGGACTCTATCCCAGCTTACTTGGTAAGTTATCTTTGATATAAAATTGAATTTGTTATACTTGTATAAATTTGAAGGATAAATCATCTCCTGTGATCTTTCATCGCAGACTACGTAAATGATAAAGGATAAATGATGCAATTGGATAACTCCTAGATGTTTGTCTTGCATTTTGCCCAGCGTGTTTTCCTTCCATTTTACTTTGTTTTTAAAAAGATTTT